AAGTTCGGTAAACCCGGGGATGCGAGAGAGCGAGTCGTTGACCAATTTCGCGGGGGGTTGCGGGCCCTGAAATCGCGCCGGTTTCGTGCCGGGCCACTCGCCTATTAATTCGCAATCGCTAAACGCCGGGATTAATCGATCGTGCGAATTCTTCGAGCGTGATAAAGAGCTGGACGCGGTCAGGGGGTGGAGTAATGAGACGGTGACCGGCCAAGTGGAGAGGGAGCGAACACCAGACGCGCGCAGAGAGGGAGGGAGAGGGAAGAAAAATTGCAAGAAGGGGCTGCCAGCGAAGGGGGAAGTTGATGAAACTGAACCGGACGAGAATGAAAGTCGGGGAAGATTTATGTCCGCGTTAATAACTGCGTCGTCGTTCGCGGTATCGGCGTCGACAGCATTACGCTCCGCGGCGGCGAGGAAAATCGGTGAACCCTTTCGTTCCGCGCGACGCGATTCCGCGACGCGTTTTATCATTTTTACGCAATCTTCGGGCTTGATGGACATTTTACGAAATGCATCGGAGCAGTTGGAATTCGTTGAATTTCACTGTAGAATGGACTTTGAATGGAATTTTATGGTAGAATGGATCTGTTGTTTGAATTTGGATAGATTGATAGGTAGAGACGAATATGGATTTGGTAATGGAATAGAGCTGATTTTACTGTAATTTGAATTTATTTTTGAGACTAGTTTCCTTTTTATGGAGTTCTTATTTGTTAGACCTTGGATGTTGCGATTATTTCTAGCAATTTGAGAATTCTCGGTTTCCTTGATGGACATGACGATGGACATGAACGTTAGTTCATTCAATTACAACTTAATATGACGCTCTATTTATTTATTCAAGAATATCTGGAAGTCATTGAAATGTTACCTTTAAATACAATTGTGATACTACAAATAAATATAGAAAAAACTGTTAAAACATGTAGAGGTTGCAATAAAATAGAACGTCGAGTCTGACTCGACACAGGACTGCTAAGGGTTAATCGAAACTTTGCATATTTTCGCGAAAATCGACGCGCACGTCGAAGGGGGGGAATCACAGCTGCATTACGCCGCGTCGTAATCACCGGTGGATGGGTCCGCGGTTAATCCCGGCGCGCGTGCGTCCTCCACTGTCGACGTACGGCGTTTAATGAACGTCGCGCGGCGGCGTTAATTTCCGCGGGGAAGACGCGCGCATTTTTAACGAATCCCCGGTTATTAACCGGTCGCGTTTCATGAAATCCCGCGAGCGATACGCGATTTACAAGTTACCCTGCCCGCGAGCCGAGATAAATTCGAACGACTGACGGGCCGGCGTAAAATTAATGTTACCGGATTGGACGCGTCGGAGCGGGAACGACGTCGGCTCGCATCGACGGCCGCGCGCGCCTTGTTGCCCTCTCTCGCGCACCGCCGGCCTTAACGAGAATCGTTCTTAATTATTATTAGGAACAGGAGTATTTTATAAGGACTGATTCAGCTTTTTCACCGTGACCGTCGCCGGGGTAATTACTCGAAAATGTCTGCTCGCATGTTCGACCGGCATCGCCGTGGCTTCCAGCTACGAAGACGTAATGAATCCCCGGCATTTCGCTCGTTCGATGTAGCCGGATAGTTTCTCCTTCGAACCGGAAATTAGGAGTTGAGAGGATGAATTGTTGCTTCGAATTGAAATTGTCGAGGGAACCTTTTCAAGCATACGCCGATTTTAATGAAACTGATGCGAGATATAGGTTTGAAGGAAATATTTGACACGTATTTTCTTATCGGTCAACATCCAATTTGAAGGGATAAAAAGATCTTAAAATGGAGGGTTGAAAATATATTTTTTAGAATGACATTAGGGGGTGTAGAAAAGAAATCTAAATTTTTCACTTTGAGTTGAACAATTTAAAGCAATTTCCTTCAGAACGATATTTCGCATGAATTTCCTCAAAATCAGCTTCTGCTAGTTGAAAAGGTTCCCCGTGAATTTACTGGCAACGCGAGACTGGGGATAAATCACGGATCCTTATCGGCGAGAACGGAGTGTCTCCAAATGATACAGTTTCCTGAATATTCGATTAGCTCCCAGATCGAATATTCCGCGCGTTAGATCTGTCCATCGATTCTTAACGATGTATTAAGTCAGATCTACGGACGGAACGTGCGAGCGAAATCTTTCGGCAATTTCAGAATTCCGAGCGGCGGGGAGCTGAAATTCGAGGGGGAATCTTATCGCGTGGATAATTAAAAGCTGTTGAAGTGAATCGGAGGAACGGGACGGCGTGCGAACGATCGATCGGTCACGTGAACGGATTCTGCGAATTCTTGGCGCACGGATTAAAGAGACCCCCTCCCTCCGCGCCGTGAAGTTTGAAGCCGTCGTTGAAACTTCGGAGTCCATTCCCCGTTCCAACGGTCGCTCGAGAACACTTTCGCGAACGCGCGTCGACTCAGCCGAATCTATACCGAAGCCAGGAATCTTTCTGCAACAGTGTTCCATCCGAAACGCAAACTTCCGCGCGCCGGCGTTTCCGGTCGGAATTCCTGCGACCGAATATTTCACCTGCGGATTCTCGATAAAAAGATGGAAGAGAGGATCGCTCCGAGCCTGTTACATTTCGCTGGCCGCGTAACCGTTCGAATTAAACCGGGGACCGTTGAACTATGCGCGTTCCACGGAGAATATCGAGCTGGAAACGAGATTCGAATCCTTTTTTCCCCACTGCGATGCGATTAAACGAGAATTAATTGAACCTTGGTGCGATTCGCTGTTTAGACGCAGGTTCTGAGTATTTAGTGGGACAGTAGGAATCTTCATTGATGATTTTCTATCGAGTGTACTGAGAAAATGAGGCTACCGAGTCGGAAGTAGGAAGCTTCGAGAAAGGAGTTATATGGTAAAATAATGAATGGAAGACAAATGATAAGAGGAGAAGCTGATAAATAGAATTATCTATGAAGATGTAATAAGTAGGAAATACATAGGAGAAAACGCGAGGAACGCCGGGAAAAGTACTTTTCATCAGGAGCCGCTGATGGACGGATGAAAGGAAAGTGGAAAGTGGATCAAGAGGTCGGCGCAGGATCCACGGGGTTGGATATTGACGCGAGGGAGAAAGAGCGAGGCAGGCAGAGTTGCCGGCTTCCGGTTATCCGGCGCGCGCGGCCGGTGCACTTTTCGCTCCGCGAAAATGCCCCGCTAAAGGTGCGCGGGGAGTGGGACTACTCTCTTGGATCCCGTCTCGCGTCCATCACGACTCACGTACGCTGAATCTCGGGTCTGGTTTTCTTGTTCCACGCTTGTACGACGGGCAAGTGTGTTAATGAAGGAATAAATTTGATGAATAAGTAGAGCAAGGTTGTGTAATGTTTGAAGGTGATCGGTTGATGGCTGGAAATTCGGCAATCCGAAGATCGACAATGATTAATTACACTGATTCACGATTCCACACCCGTTGAAACATCGACTTTTTCGTTGACACGAGTGCAAATTTCCTTCGTCACGAGGAAACTATATCGCATCGATCATTCTCGATTAATCGAGCGGTTGAACCCGCGATAGCGCAGGCGTAGCCTATAAATTAAATAGCCGAAGCGTAAGTAAATCAAAGCATCGCTAGCGCGACGAACGATAAACGCGCGATCGTTATCTAACCGAGGAGAGCAGCACTACAGCATAAACTACGGTCGAAATATAACACAATTACCATTCCCCTAAAACTTCCATATTCACCACAATGAAAATTCAATTCTTACCTTCACACTTTTACAAACCATAGTACCTACCTCGAGAACCATTGTCTACCTCGATTCACCTCGCATCTATCGATCCCAATTTCCCCGTCGCTGCGCCTATAACTCAGCCACTCGCGTCCGACGAAAAAGGCGTTACCACCTGGAAGCGGGAATTAGAGGAATCGCTGAAACAAGAGGAGCAAAGAAAAGCTCGGCCGTCGGGCGAGCCCGATTCGCGCGTGGATCGCGATTTATGCGCGTCCGCGAGGGCGGAGGGCGCGGGAGGGCAGGCCGGCCGAGGCGTCCCGGCACAAAGACGTGCCCGGGAAAAACCGTCCCTCGGTATTGACAGCCGCGGTGAGAAATTGCCGGGTTAATTGCGAAAGAAACGGCCCGGCGGAACGAGGCATCCCGTTCTACGACGCGAGGTATCCCGCGCTACCGGTTGCCGGCCGCGCGGCTGCCGCAGAAAAACCCGGCGGGTTTAAAGGACTCCGTGCTCGAGATTCGCCTTGACCCACGGAGCTCGCTCGCAGCTTCTTTTCCGCCGACCGGTCGTCCGCCTCAAATGGGCGACGCGGGTGACTACGGGATTTAGAAGCCATTACCGCGTTTCTCCTGTTTTTCCTCGCCGCCGGACGTCGAGCGAGCATTTCCACGCGGGTGGCGCGCGCGGAATACGGGATGGCGACTTCGCTTTCGCTCGATGCTATTTCATGGGGATTACGCGTTTGGCTACGATGAATCGTGTGTTTTGGGGGGTTTATATTCTTATGCGCTGCAGTTTAGTTTAGGGACAGATTAATTTTGTTTTCTTCGAATTACTGTCGAGACGCCTGATTCTCTACGAGTTTAGCAACGTTAACTAGAACTACCGAGCACTAACGCCTTTTTAACCCTTTGAACTCTGTAGGCTCCAATATTGTACGAGGAATAATACTAGATATTTTGATGAATCTTAAAGGAACTACCCTAAAATTATTCGATTTTACACATCCAAATTTTGTATTAACAAGGATAATAGAAGATCTAAGAAATGTTATAACATTTCTAATTTTCGCTGTGGATACTATATAAATTAGTTGCAGTAGCTGATAGATTACAAAACCATCCGGAACGCTAAGGGATAACATTTCTTTATAAAATCAAGCTTAACAGAAGGAACTGGGAATTGATCATTTCGACGCGCCCGGTAGTTCTAGTGTCAACGAATACTTGAAACCGGAAACAATCTTCACCGTTCATATCCTTCCACATGGTATCCGACGCTAATCTCGTTGTTCTCGTTTCAGCAGCAAAAATTCGTGAAGAGGACGGCCGAGGAGTTGGAGCCAGCCGGCGGCGGTACCGGGGACGGTGGTTTCGGCGAGCCACCGGTGAAGCTGCAATGCACGCAGGCGCAGCACCAGCATCAGCAGGGTCCTGGCGGCGGCGGGGGCGGCGGTGGCGGCGGAGGCGGCGGGAGCGGGCCCCATCACGGGCACGGGCAGCATACGGCCGGGAACGGCGCGAACTCGACGGGCCCGACGCACGCCGGTTCCGGGAACGGCGGCGGGAACGCCGGGAACGAGGGGCTGACCAAGTTCTCGG